AGTAGTAGTAGTAGTATCCCACTCTTTCCCCGAAACTAAGGACCCAGAGCGGCTCACAATGTTCAAAGAACTGTATGGTTGAAAGCCAACCAAAAAATCTTAAGTGAATAAGCTTTGCTTGTGATCCTGGGAGAATTCAAAGATATAGCCATGTTAGTCTGTAGAATAAGTGTAGAGAGAACTTACTTTAAAGTTAGCTGTACCCCAGCATCAGTATGCAGAAAGATCTTACAGCACCTTTGAGACTACTGAAAGGAAGAAGTTGGCAGCATATGCTTTCATAGACTTAAGTCTACTTTCTTAAACTAAATGCATTGGCAGAAGTAGACTTAAGTCCATGAAAGCTCATGCTGCCAACTTCTTTCTTTCAGTTAGTCTCAAAGGGGTTACATGATTTCTCTGCAGTCTGATTCTGGGGTACAGCTAATTTTAAAATAAGTTTTGTAAGGGGAAGACAGATTTTTTTCATATTTACAACATCTTTTCTCTCTTTCTTCAACTTTTTTTTAAATGGCCGTTTCTTTTTTACTCCCAGTTTCTTCTTATAGGAGGAACAGGTGTATAATTTGGTACCTATATGCACCTCTGTTTTCTTGTAGGTAGGAAAGTAGTGGCAGTTAGGGAATACACCTGCTGAAGGGTTCTGATGGGGGGGGAATCAATAGAAAGCATTTAGCATTTTGTGCAGTGAATGATGCTTCTAGAATTTGGGGATCTGCTTCCGCTTTTGAAAATGAATTCATCTGAAGTAGGCTTATGGGTCATGAAGAATCAATGAGTAACTCTAAAGTACAGGTTCAAAGGCTGTAGCTTAGCTTGGTTATAGTAGTGATATGTAACTCTGCCATGCCCTTTGATAGGCAACAAACATGGGTGGTTTCTAGGAAAAAAACAGCAAGTTTATAAGTCTCGTAAGCCATCCTGTCAATTTTGGCTTCCTATGAAATGTTTTTATGGGAGAAAGGATAATTTGCCAAGCTTCAGGACAAATATATGAACAGAAAAGGGCAGCCAACAAAGCAAAAGCAGGGCAACTAAGAAGTTATCCCTCCTCATCACCTCTTTAGCTGTTTGTGTCATTTTTCCCCTCTCAAAAATGGCATAAGACAAGCAAGGGAGAACTCGGGGCAATGCCTTGAGTGATATGAAATGTCAGGATTTGTGTATAGTGATATCATTACACTGTGTCGTTGCTTGCATTTCCAAAGCTGCTAGGTGTTTGCGTGTAACGGTTTGGGTTATCTGTTACATGGGACATTTGGGTAGAGGTGTGTATTGAGAGTAACAAAAAGTATTCCGAGTTCCTGAGGTTAAAAATCACTCATAATTTTCCCATGCCCATAGACTTCTGACAGAGATGCCGTTAAATAATGTTGGTCCTGCAGCTGGAGAAAGTGCTCCACAGAACTTCTCAGTATATTATGTAAGACCGTTCTGAATATTAAAAGAACACTGTATACATTAACTTGGTAGTGTAAAACTATTAGTAGAAAACATTGGCTGGCTCTTTTAATAATGTTGCTTTTATCAATGTTAACTTTCTTGCTTTCATCAATGCTAACTTATCGTGGTGGCCCGGATGGGACATACCTATAACACTAGCCAAACTTTTAGGGGAATTTCATAACTACAGATGGCTTTTTAAAAGACCTACTGAGTACCTATTGATGTGCTTGAAGGTGAGAGAAGCACATTAATGTTTATGTAAGTGCAAAATGTTCATCTATGTATGTGGGGGGTTGTCTTAATGAATGCTGTCAACTGCCATGACTAGATGTAATTTATTGTATGTGACCATTGCAACCAAATTTGCTTTTCACAGATCTAAAAATGCATTTAATTCGTAACCTCTAATATGTATACTGTGTTTTAACATGTTCTACATCACTTGACTATTTTTTCATTTTTTAAAAAACAGTCTGATGCTACTTTCAGGGAATTATAATATCTCCAGATTTTTTTTAGCATGAACTTACAATTATATGGGTGAGTTAAAGTTGCAACTGGATTTTGAATTAACTAGATCTACATGATATCAGAAAAGTTTGTCCAACTCTGTCCTTCTTTCTGATAATGCACTGGACCTTAAAAATAAAGTTGGCCTCTTCTGAGACTAATGGCTTATCTATAAAGTAACTAAGAACTGTTAACAAAAACAAAAAGTTTTCCTGACATAGGGAATGGTTGAAGATAACAGCAGCTTTAGAGAGATTTGAAAATAGTATTACAGGTTAGGCATCATTGGCTACAGTGTACATACCAGTTTCACCAAATCTTTGCTAAAAGATGATACAGCATTCTTTTAAACAAACAAACATTTTTGAGATCCACTATCACTTTGATCAACGAAGTGCTGCAGATTTTTTGAAGGATTTAAGAAACTCTGCAAGCCTGTTGACCATAGTAAATGAAAATGTGTACTTTAATTGTACATCCTTTTGATCTCCAAAGTAACTATTACAAAAAGTTTTTAAAATTATTTGTTGGCTTTAGTAGCTTTGGAGTAGACATTCAATAAATTTGAAAATAAAGAATAGTATAATTGTAACTATAAAGTTTTTCTTTTATTAATTATAAGGCTATGGAGGTTGCATGGCTACACGTATTTACTTCTGACGAAACCCAAATTAGGCCGACACCTAGGTAAATCTGCACAGGATTGTACTCTTAGTCTGTCATCCTAAACATAGTTGATGGGGAAAGAAAAAGCCTTGAATTCTGTGGAATGTAGTTCCAAACATATTTGAATATATTCAGGATCAG